GGACACCTTTCTAGCCCATTACTTAACAGGGCCAGCCCAGGTGGCCTATCGCAACCTTGACCACCAGGACGCCGTGCACTATGAAAAAGTGAAGGTGTCCACACTAGACCAGACCAATATCAGCCCCGAGACACACCGCCAGTGCTTTAATCAGAAATGGTACCCTGCAGGGGCTAGGCCACGAGCGGTGGCTCAATGTCTCCGGGACTACACTTGGCAATGACTAAAGCCTGGCAAGCGGTTTGGTGCTCAACTGGCAGAAGCGGTAATTTTGGAACAGTTCACCCAAATCCTCCAGAATGGAGAAGGAGAGGGTGCATAGAGACTGCCCTGCAACGCTTATGGAAGCGGTTGGACTGATGGAGGATTACTTGGTGGACGAAATTACAGAATCCCAACCCCATAAGATGGAGGAACCCGGGGGGAAAGACCGTCCAGCCAAGGGGAAACCCCTCCCGGCCCCACTGGGAGGGCTACAACTCCTGTCGAGAGCCCCGACCAGGAACACTGACATGAGTCTGAAGCAGACTGCTATTCGAGGCCTTACACGGTGGGATGAAAGCCCACTCATCAGAGCCAATCCGATTAGAATGGACTCGCCACCCAGAGGGGCCGAGACGGTTGTTATGAATGTGGTCAAGAGGGGCATTTCTGATATGATGGCCCTTATATGGACTGCAATTACGGGCAGCTCTGGGTAGCCAGCCCCCGGGCTTGGAAGAGGGGCCCAGAGAAGCTCCAGGTCCCGGTGCTCATAGAAGGGGTTCCTGCAACAGCACTGATCGACTCTGGCTGTAGCCATACTCTCATCCGAGGCGACCTGGTACCAGACCTTGAGCCGGACGGGTCCCCCATCCACATCCAATGCGTCCATGGAGACCTATATTTGTATCCTGCTGCCCAGGTGATGCTGGAGATATACCACCAAAGCACAGCCCTCTCAGTTGGGCTTGATTCCCAGGCTGGTCTATCCAGTGATTCTGGGGGTGGGGCTGGCCGTGGTTCCTAGAACTACTGCAAGAGCCCTCTCAGTACTGTCCAACAGGAGAAGATGAAGGGCCAACAAAAAAGGGGCTACTTGTGAGGGATCGGGATGCCAACCCAGGGGAAGGGCCCTCCAAGTCTGCCATGATCTCGGTGCCCCCGCCTACACCAACAGACTCCTCCATCAATGATGCACGAACAGAACTTGAACAAGTTGGCGACTTTATCTGGGAACAATGAGAGGACCCTACACTTAGTCATGCCTGGGAGCAGGCTACCGCTAGAGATCAAGAGGGGAGGGGTGCTCCGCAAAAAACCCAAAGGCCCATGCTTCGAAATATGGCATGACCACCTCTATCGCCTGGTGGAAGAGCCACATACTAGAGAATTGCTTCGCCTGCTGCTGGTCCCTCGGAGGTTGCACCAGGGTCTTTTACACCTTGCCCATTTGGTGCTCTGGGCAGGGCACCTTGGAAGAGAAAAGACCCTCCAACGGGTGGCACGGTGGTTCTTCTGGCTGGATATCCACCAGGAGGTGAAGAATTATTGTGCCTCATGTTCAGAGTGCCAATGCATGGACCCAAAAGGAGTGCTGAAAGGGCCCCTCATCCCCTCCCTGTGGTTAGGGTCCCCTTTGAGTGAATAGGACTTGACTTGGTAGGCTCACTAGACAACAGTTCCTCTGGCCACTGGTATATCTTCATGATACTGGATTACATGACACGCTACCGAGAAGCAGTCCCATTATATGGACTGCCACGCCCCCTAAGATAGCCGCTGAGCTCATCAAGGTCTTTCCACGGGTAAGAATACCCCACAAAATCTTAACAGATCAGGGGACGAACGTGACTTTCCGATTGATGGCTGACCTCTGCCATCTCTTAGATATATGAGCCCTCAGAACTTCTCTATACCATCCCCAGACAGACAGATTGGTAGAATCTTTTAACAAGACCTTAAAGAGCATGCTACGCAAATTTGTGGAAGAGGATCGGCAACATTCGGATACACTACTCCCAGCCTTGTTGTTTGCCGTATGGGAGGTACTCCAAGCATCAACGGGGTTCTCCCCCTTCGAACTCTTATATGGAAGACCACCCTGTGATATCCTCAACCTTCTGAAAGAGGGCCGGGAAGGGCAAGAGACACAGGCGAGGGGGGGTTGTCCATCATGTGATATAGCTGCGGGAGAGGTTTCAGATGGTAGGGACCTTTGCCAGAGAAAATCTGAGGCAGGTGCAGCAGATTCAGGCACAACAGTGTAACAAGGGAGCCAGGGTGCTGAGCTTTGAACCAGGAGACCAGGTCCTAATCCTGCTGCCCTCAACCGAATCCAAACTATTGGCTAAGTGGCAAGGCCCCTTTGAAGTCACGTGGTAGACTGGGCCTGTCGATTATAAGGTCCAGCTGCCAGGCTGGCACCACAAGACATGCACATATCATGTCAATTTGCTAAAGTCCTGGAGGAGCAGGGAGGCTTTACTAATCACACCCTACACCCCTGAACCAGAATTAGGACCCCTGGTTGATGAATCCTTTGAAGATGGGCCAGTGTTGATAGGAACAGGACTTGTCCAGACCCAGAGAGAGCAACTGCAAAGACTCCTGCGGTCCTACTCAGATGTCTTGTCGGCTCATATTGTCACCATACCAGGACAAAAGGTACGCAACCTCCACCAACCTCTGCCCAAGAAGATGTGGGGGGCCGTCCAGAAAGAACTGGAGGTCATGCTGGATATAGATTTGATGGATATAGATTTCATAGTGAGTGGCAAAGCCCAATAGTCCGAGTCCTGAAACCAGACGGGTCCATCCGGTTTTGTATTAACTTTAGAAAGGTGAACAGTATATCCTGATTCAATGTCTACCCGATACTGCGGGTCAACGAACTCCTCGAGAGGTTACTTTGGATCTCACCAAAGGGTACTGGCAAATCCTTCTGACCCCAAACTCACGCTCAAAAATGGCCTTCCCAACCCCCTTTGGACTGTATCAATTTATAACCATGCCATTTGGGCTACATGGGGCAGTGGCCACCTTCCAGCGACTCGTGAATTGGGTATTACAACCACATGGGCAGTACATCACCGCTTATATCAATGACATCGTCATATATAGCACCAGCTGGGAAGACCACCTTCAACACCTCTCTAAATTCATACATGCGCTCAGGGAGGCTGGACTCATGAATCCAATGAAATGCCATCTTGGGCAGAACGAAGTAACATACCTAGGTTATACTGTTGGGGGCAGAGAGCTGCAACCCTTAGTTGGGAAGGTACAAGCGCTGCAGAACTGGCCCATGCCGACGACAGAGACAGGTTCAGCAATTCCTCGGCCTAGCCAGATATTGCCAGTGTTTTGTAACAGATTTTGTGAATTTGGCGGTCCCCTTGACTGACTTGATGAAGAAATCACTATCCCAAAGAGTTCAGTGGTCTTGGGAGTGTGAGGCAGCCTTTTAGGCATTAAAGGAACGGCTGACCCGGGAGCCGATCTTGGTCCATCCCAACTTTCAGAAACCCTTCATCCTGCAGATGGACGCATCGGAGGTAGGGATCGGGGCAGTACCCTCTCAAGGAGACACCAGAGAGGAACATCCCATATTCTACCTGAGGCGAAAACTGTTCCCCGGAGAGACCCGTTACTTGACTATAGAGAAAGAGGCTCTAGCTGTCAAATGGGCCACAGATTCTCTACAGGATTAGAGAAGGGTCAGGAAAGCACAAGTGCCTCTTCTTTGTACACAAGCCTACTCTTCACCCCCTCCCCCACCACATCTCAATAGATCTGGCAGGGGGCAGAGGAGGGGAACAGGGATAGGGGGAGCAAAGCTTTGGGAAGGCTGTGGATTGGAGGGGGGATACTGAGGGCATGTGGGGACTGTGGCTGAAGTGGATGAATGAACAGGGGCAACGAATCTGAGGCCTCAGGAGCAGCTCAGCTCATCAGGAGGAGGAGAATGAACACACTGGACAGAGTATTGAGTATTTGCTGTGCTACCCTTTTAAGATTTGCTCTAAGGCACTTGAATGATTAGCAAACACTGATGCAATGGTATATGGACTCAAAACCCGGGCTGGCTAACTCTAGCTTCTTCCCCTGACCTAGATAACTAGGCCTGTGCTGTAGAGCTCACATGGCAACTTTTTCAAACTCCCATGGTATGTTAGGTCAATTATGGGTGAGTTCATTTCACTTACTTTTCTGCTGCAGGCAAGACAAGACTGTAATCACTATTTTTGCTGCTTCTATCCCCTGGGGACTCCTTCAGGCCTAGTAAATGGGCCACTAGTATCACACATTATTGTAGAAAGGGTTAGGGGAGCATGATTGGGAATGTAAACATGTCCAAATGTGGACATGGGAGAGGGGAGAACAAAAAACAAAAACAAACAAAGTACAAAGATGGAAGGTTTGATGTTCAGAAATGCTTATATAAAAGAAAAGAGGGAGAGAAGAATGAACTTCAGTCACTGGGGTGATATTTTATCACGTACTATTTTACAGTACAGTTGCAGGGTTTGAATGAACCATCTGCTTTTCTGACAGTTCATACTTAAAAGTAGATTATTTTTCAGAGAATGATCAATTTTCAGAACTAATCATGTATGTTGTCCCCCTCCCTCCAAAATAAAAGATCCTATTTTCACAGACTGTTTGATGAAATGTTAATAATTAAGACATTACTTGCAGAGTTGTTGTAGCTGTGTTGGTCCCAGGATATGAGAGAGAGACAGGGTAGGTGAGGTAATACTTTTCATTGGACCAACTTCCGTTGGTGGAAGAGACAAGCTTTTGGGCTTCACAGAGCTGAAGAATTGCTCTGTGAATCTCACAAGCTTGTCCCTTCCACCAACGGAAGTTGGTCTGATAAAAGGTATTGCCTCACCTACCTTGTCTCTCTCAATAGTTAATATATATAGATATTGCCTCTGTTTTAAGGGTGGTTTCACAATATACTTGTTAAACTATGAAATTACACCATGGAACAAGCTAGAATTAGTGAAGCCTACCTTCCTTCGATGGGATGGCACAATAAAAAATGTTTCAATATTATGCTTCTTCAAGAAACTGTTCCTTTCATGGCCATACCCTGGTTCTACCTCATAGTCACCGTTTAGGCACTCTAAGGTGGTCTTTGTTATGTGAACTTTCCTAGAGAGAAAGACAGGAAAAAAGAATTTAAAGCAATGATGCATTATGAGCCAGGACCTATTCATTTGGGTGAAATCCACCACTGTGCAGAGGGCCAACACAAAGGTGAATTACATGCACAGACAGTAGGTGAATTTTTGTTGTAGGGCAGCTAAATTCTCGCAACCAACTAGAATGCAGAGGTGTTTTTAGCATATAAACTTCCTAAATTTAGCAGATGCTTTGAACAAATGTAAGTAACTATAGAGTACCACCTTAAATTGCAGTCTTGTTGATTTTACAAAGTATACAGGCATACATGTTATATTTCAAGTACTCTAGCTTTCTAAGTATTTATTAAAGCACTTGCTGGAGATACTGGTCCTCTGTTTGATGCATGCCACCCCACTCTTTAAATCTTACTAATGGCTGTTCTTTTTCTGCTATATAAAGGTCAGGTTTTTGTATTCACTTTCCCGTCCATTTACAACTCTGAGGGCTCGTCTGCATAAGTGTAATCGGGAAACTGAACCTCAATTAACTTTCAAAGTGGATTAGTTAAACCACATTAGGACTCTGGGTGGACACTCTAAATCAGCATTAAAGTGCCCTTAATTCAGTTTAGTTTAATTCACTTTGGAAGTGAAATAAGTTACACTGAATTACAGTCGCTTTAATTTCGAATAAGAGGGTCCACACAGGGGTTTAATGAAGTTTAATCTACTTTACATACACACAGTTGGTTAATTTGGATTAATTTTCCTGAATGTCCCCATGTAGACAAACTCTGATGGTCTCAATTTAGCCAACCTATTTTATTAGCTGCTCCCACCCATTCTGTTCTCCCAACAATGCCAGCTAGGTTTCTCTCCATTGGTCTATTTTTCCTGTAACTGTTTTTATATTTTCTTCTATGTCACCCTTTACACATGGAACATTTTCATAGAAATTAACTGTAAAGGTATTACTTCTCTTAAATATCTTTTCAAATTCTTTTTTACTGTGATGCCTTAAGATAAGAGTTTCCAAAGCAAACTAAACTAAACTACCAAAATCATCTATAGTAAACAAATGTCAGCCAAGTAGGAAATTTCCCATCTTACCCACAAGAATTAGCAGGCCCCACTTCTCCCTGTTCAGCAGAACACAAATTGTTTTGTAAAAATCCAACAAATCTCCAGTTGATACAAGGGGTCGTGTTCTAACATGCTTGCATGCCCTTAACTTGTACTCAAGAAAGCTCAATGCATCCTTGACATTTCAGTACCCAGTTAAATTACTAGCTCTCCAAGAGCACATGCAAATACATGATTTGCACACATACGCCTAGTATTTGGATACATATTTTAAGCACAAACTAATGTTTGCATGGCATTGGGCATGACTAACTTTGAAAATCTGACTCTGTAATGGTAATACTAAGCCACACATTTGGAGGCAGAGATGGGCAAACCCTCCCCTCCATTACACTGAGGTAACTCCATTTTACTGAGAGGAGTATTTAGCTCTTTCTTGACTAAAATTTTATCATTGCCTCATTCCTACCCTTCATATTTGGCAGTTTCTAGTGAAAAGCTTATTCAAAGGACATTTTACATTTTAACAGAATGTTGTTCACATTTACTTCTCTGAACCATTACTAACAGAAATCTACAGGTCACTCAACCCTAGTGTTCCTTAGGAGATGTTTGAACAGCAGGTAATACAGCCTATGAGAGTTCTTAATTTGAAATACCCTTATGTATCAATTATAGTAGTAATCGGCTTTGCAAAATACTTTCAGTTAAAGAGAGAAATAATTGATGCTCTCATTCAGGGCTGTAGTTTTTTCTTAGAGACTTACCCAGGCAATCCTCCAGTTTCCATTACGTTTGCTAGAGTCACATCATTTGACCAGACATCATATTGCCATTTGCGGAGACCTAGGACCCCACAAAGCACCCTGCCTGTGTGTAGTCCAACTCTCATGTTGAGATCCACTTCAGTGGCTTCTGCTACAGACCTGCAATAGATGGTATCAGATCTTTAGAGAAGAACATTTCTTTCCATCACCTTCCTGTCTTTCTCCCAAGACTCATCATTTCTACACATTGCCAACTGCAGAGAAATGATCTTTAAAAATTTCAGACAGGTGACATAGCCAGTTAAGGTTCTTGCCCTCCCAAGCTTTTGGAAAAGTTCAAACCCTGATTCATATCACTAATGAAATAGATTTGGTGATCTCATCCCAGCCCCCAGCGAATCAAAATCTCAGTATCCAATAGTGGATTTTCGCCTAGAATCTGGCTACTTCATGCTAGTTGCAAAATACAAATCCAAACAGCTCTGTGCTAGATGGGCAATTCCCTGTTCTGTTATCAGTGTAAGAGAAATGATCCCAGCAGTAGAAAAGTTGCTGCCACCACAATGTTCCCCAGAGGTGGATTTTCCATAGTCAGGACCCCGCATGTCACTGTCTATAGCACACTTGTAAAGCGGATTTATTTTCTCTTATTGCTCTCAGTTTTATTTCCTTTCACTTTTGCTCCTATAAAAACTTCTCTTTCTGGTCTCTTGGGGTAATGGCAAGTTTACCCAAGATCTAAACCATAATAATAATAATAGAATGTTTTGTTTCTTACAAGGAGTGAGTGTTTTAATTCCTAACTTTCAGCACCAAATGAAATTTTGATTTGATTTTCAGGTTTGAATGAATCCAAACACTCAAAGCAAAATTCAGTCAAAGATTATGTTTCACCTAATATCATCCAGAAAAAAATTCAGGGTTAAAGCAGATGTTATACATGGCTTCAATTGATATTGTGCCAGGGTCATCTGAAACTGGGTTAAAGTTCATTTGAAAAGTCTGTTCCTCTTAGCAAACCTTTTTGTGAACATGGGCCGAGATTCAAGTTTTGCAAACTGTACTATGAAGTTCTAGTTGCCACCTTCTCAGTATTTGCTATTAAATTTCTTGTGAAGCTTAGATCTCCTATCAGGATAAACAAAATACACTCTACTTGTAACTCAACTGATCCAGTGACAGTCAAACTACAGCACTTGCTTGTTTATCTTCTGTCTCCACTTATTTACCCACAGTTTTTTCTGTCATAAATTTTCCTGTTTCCTAATGCATATTTACTTTAGGCAGCTATGACAGCTGACAGCAAACTGATGGTGGAATCAAAAGAAAATTGTTGAAACTATCTTATTAAGTGTAATTTTAACCTGACATGCATCCAAGTAAACATATTTAAATACAGTATTACAAGGGATTGCTTTCAATTGAATATTAAAATGGACAATATTACTTTTAGAGTTCCTTCATTTCATAGAAAGCATACATTCTATTTATACAGCCTTTTTTCAGGTTAGAGGCTGGAGAATTTTGCCTGGTAATTCATCTCACACAAAGACCAGGGGATTTATATGGGTAAAGGGATTTCACCATAAGCATTCATGCAAGGCACTGAGGGGAAGGTTGGTCTTGTGGGTAGAGCACTAAACTGGGATTGAAGAGCTCTGGTGTCAATTCCTAGCTCCACCCTAGACTTCCTGTGTGACCTTGGGCAAGTCACTTAATCTCTCTTTCTCTCAGTTCCCAGTCTGCCAAATGGAGATAACATTTCCCAGCCTTTGTCTGTAAATGGCACAGTGGTTGGCCTCTAGGTGTGACTGTAATACAGATTTATAGCAATGATAATAACGTGATTTGGAGGAGATGGTGCTAATCCTCTGTACTAAGGTGAATTCCATCCACTGTTTTCTCTTTGTGCATCAGAGAAAGTCCTAAACAATAAACATCAATAAAAATGTTTATCTTCTCTGATTTATTTCTTTATTCTGTAGTAATGTATTTGCTTGGCATTTTATCTTTTAGTTTTACTTTAGTTTTATTTGATGAACAACTCCACTTCATTGATTTAAAACTTACTGAGGTAAAAATAATTTTTTGAAGCATCTCTGATTGTTTAATTTCCTCCTCTACAATGATGCATATTTAAACACACCAGTAGTCATTTTCTTGTATTAATTTGCTTACTGCTCTCAAGATTTCAGAATCAGTAAGCGGGAAAGATTTGCCCTCCTCCCCCCCCACCCCCCAAGTCACACAAACATGATATTCCAGTCTTGATCCCTGTGCTCCTGCATGTAGTTGGGTTAGCTATTCAGAAATACATGGGGCTAGATTTTGTCTAGTCCTATGAGACCACCCAGGGAAGTAGGGTCCTCCTGACAGCCAGACACTAGATTCTCTGACTGAGGCTCAGGGAGCAAGGCTGTGCACATAAGACTTTCCCCTCACCTTACCTCTGTGAGCAAATGGGCATGAGGAGATGCCAGTGGGGAATATCAGGGATGGGGCAAAGTCTTGGCTCCACCCTCCATGCATCAGGCAGCTCAGCTGGCAAGACACGGGGGTGGTGGTAAGTAACCCAACAAAGGGTGAAGTAACACGATTGCTCAGCATAGGAAGGTAGCAGGGGAGGAACTGTGACTGAGCCGTAATATCTTTCCTCCTGTAGTAGCAAAGCTATCCACTGCCCCATATGCAGGGCTGAGCCTCAAGGCTCAATTTAGCCTGAAGAGATTTACATTTTATACACGCAGGAACTGTAATTAGCTGTTAAAAGTCAGTGTTAAAGTCATCTCACTCAGGTGGCATTAAGAGGACTTTTTATTTCTAACAATTGACAACAATCTATTGCACAGAAACTGCAAAATCTTACACATGTGCTTAGGAGCTATGTCCACAGTTAGGATTGCATTCTAAAATGGGGCATAAATTCCTGTCTCTCTCTAGAAGTAGGTGGCCAGCTGGGGTGAATTTCACACAGGATTAATTTTATGCTGTTTGAATTTTCCATGTAGGTTTTAATTTCGGTTCGCTCCATACATTTTTAATCAGAAACTTTTGAATTTGGGCTGTGGCTAAAATTTCCCTGCAGCAACTTTTCATTGTTGACTGACATCTCTTTGAAAACATTGTCTTTTTCCACATAACGTGGCAGAGAGGCAGACCCGAAGAAGACCGATGCAAGAGGGAGTTTCATTTTGAAAAATGCTGACTCTTATGTAATTGTTAGCATTTATTCACACTATACTCAAAAAGTTTATGCGCTGAGCACACAAACCTGATGGGGGCCAGGAGTACACAAGTCTGATTGGTAGATGGTGGTGATGCCAGGTGTTTATAAGTTTGATTGATTGGGGGTTGGGGGAGGGCCAGTTCATAAAAGCTTCTCTGGGAGGAGCTACATTCTTCTATAAGATTTTTTTCTACAGCAGGGAAGGGCTAACATGCAACTGCCAAGGGATGAAATACTCTCTTGTTGCATTTCTACCCTCCACCCCCATAGGTCCGCCCCCATCCAATACCCAACCCAGTTAAGTATTAACACCCTATGAAATTAATACACAAAAAACTGTTGTGAAGCAGTTAGGATGCAACACGCACAACCTACCTGACACTAACCCACAAAATCAAGGAAATGGAAAATTAACCCCCCTAACAGTACATACCCTTCACCCCCACTCACAAGCACACACCTTACCATTACCACACCAAGAATACACCACAGACCATGCACTATGACAGGGGTGGGCAAGTTTTTGGCCTGAGGGCCACATTGGAGTTGCAAAACTGTACAGAGGGCTGGGTAGGGAAGGCTGTGCCTCCCCAAACAGCCTGACCCTTGCCCCCATCCGCCCCCTCTCACTTCCCACCCTCTGACTACCCCCCTCAGAACTCCCGACCCATCCAGCCACTACCACCCCCAGCTCCTTGTCCCCTGACCACTCCCAACCACCCCCCCGGGACCCCATCCCCATTCAACTCCCCCTGCTCCCTGTCCCCTGACCCCTATCCACACCCCTGCCTGCTGACAGGCCCCTTGGGACTCCCATGCCTATCCAACCCTGCCCATTTCCCATCCCCTGACTGCCCCCCCCAGAACCTCCACCCCATCCAACCGCCCTCTGCTCCCTGTCCCCTAACTTCCCCCCACAACCCTCCGCCCCCTTACCATGCTGCTCAGAGATGCAGAAGCTCACAGCCCCGCCACCCAGGCAGAGGCAGTTGTGCTCCCCGCGCGGCAGCGTTGCTGCAGGGGGACGGGACAGCAAGGGAGAGGCCGGGGGGCTAGCCTTCCTGGATGGGAGCTCAGAGGCCAGGCAGGACGGTCCCGCGGGCCGGCTGTGGCCCGTGGGCTGTAGTTTGCCCACCTCTGCACTATGACCTTAACTCTGCCCCTACAGGGATACCAGCCTTCCATCACCTCCTTTAACCACCCATCTATGCGCAGCCTTTTACCAAACTAGCTTTTTGCAATACAATAACCTATTTCCCCAAACTTCCACAACTGTTAGTGCTGGGGAAAAAGTAAAGTGTGTACATAAAATGGCAAAAACAGGGCAAAGCTAGGTTTGCCGTGCATGGTCTGTGATATATGGTAGGAGTGGTAATTGTAAAATATGTGCTTGTGGGTGGAAGAATGGAGAGTATGTACTATTACCTGGGTTAATTTTTCATTTCTTTGTTTTCGCGGGCTTGTGTCAGGCACGTTGCGTGTGTTACATCCATAATTTCTTCATGATGGAAGTTGTGTATTAATAATTATTGTATTTATGTCCTATTCTGTGAACTATACTCTCCTTCCTGGTAAGTGGTGCTTCCCTATTAACTTCAGTGTTGCCTGGTGTTACGAAAGGAAGAATTAAGCCCACATGTACATTAACATCATTAACTAAAAAGAGTCTGGTTTACCATTTAGCAGAGTAAACACAGACGTTTGCTCACTTTTGGCACGTCAAAATGCTTTGAAAAATAATTTTTAACATTTGTTCTTATGTTACAGTGTCCGGGCAGCTTTGCAAAAGTTAAAGTTGAAAAATCCTTTCCATTCTAACCCCCTAATTCTAAACTGTCATTACTTTCTCAAAATTATACCATTTGGGTTATAATTTCTTAAATCGGGTCTTAACCAGAGATGAATTTTCACTGGAAATTTGAAGATAATCAGT